GGACGGGGGGGGACGGGGGGGGGACGACTGATCCATCCTCAGCACTAAAGAGCACGAAAGTAGGAGGAACTTTGACTGGGGCCTCACTGATCCTTGTCCTTTGCAACAGCCCTGAGCTAAGAACAGGAATCAATTAACTCTCGTTTTTCTTCCTTCTCATTTCATTTTCAGGCTAAAGTTCTGGGAAGTAGATAAAATTAGTGTGAAATTGGGAAAACTATGACCTCTTAGGCCACAAAGCACTGGAACTGGGGCTGTGGGGGCTGCGTTTGTGGAATAAAATGGCCAAGAGTTGACTAAGCTGGCTTAGCTGGAATTGTGTTTGTTTATGCTTGTACACGCATGCCTGCTTGTCAATGAAGATTAAAAATGTGAGTCAGGAGAGGTGAAGATGAACCAGGAAGGAAGGTAGTGAGTCTAAGGCCAGTGTAGAAAGGAAAGATCGAAAGGTCAGACTTTATGGTTGGGGGAAACAGTGTCAGAACTCAACAAGAGAGGGAGCAGGTTGTAGACTGGGATGGAGTCAAGGAAGAGGGAGCAGGGGGAGCAAAGGACACTACTTCCCCAGCAGATAGGAGGGTCTGATGGAAAAGAACGTGGTCCTGGTTAGGTGGGCAGGCTCAGCCAGGATATGGTAACCATTTGATCAGTATATGGATCACAGATTTTGCCCTTAGGCTGCTTAACCTGGGCTCTGGGAAAGTTGGAGTGTCAGGGCAGGCATTCCCCACTTGCCAGATGGAGAGGCTGAGACTCGAGGAGCAAGGTTAGCTGCTTGTGGCCTTTAACCAGAGGTGGCCAGTGGCAGGACCCCAATTAATCTTCGGGGTCCAGCTTGTGCCCTTCTTGCCCATGGCTGTGAATTTCAGAAAAGGTGGTAATTATTGATAGGGAACCAGGGCCTTTCCTGGCATACCCTGGGGTCGAAGTGGGTGAGGAACATTCTCTGGATATGTCCTTTCTTGTGGGAAGCGAGCACAGCCGAGCCAGCCAAAGATGGAGCCCTGGCTGGCTGCCAAACCTCATGCTGTTTACTTCAACTCTTGGCTGATTGCCAAGGCTCGTGAATCCCGCTTGTTTACCCCAACTCTGAAGTATGGTGAGCCCAAAAACAGGTGCTGCCAGCCTGATAATCTTGCTACATGGCTAATGAGCTGCACTCTGCCTGCCCGCTGCACGTGTGTGTGCCCTGATTGGTCCTGGCTAGAGGGAGGGCTGTTGGAAACGCTATATGAACAGTTGAGGTGTGTAATAGAGGAGAACAGAAGGAACAACTACAGCAAACAACAGGAACAGCAACAACGAGACAGCCTCATAGTGAGAGAGAATGAAGTGAGAGAGAATGAAGTGAGAGAGAATGAAGTGAGAGAGAATGAAGTGAGAGAGAATGAAGTGAGAGAGAATGAAGTGAGAGAGAATGAAGTGAGAGAGAATGAAGTGAGAGAGAATGAAGTGAGAGAGAATGAAGTGAGAGAGAATGAAGTGAGAGAGAATGAAGTGAGAGAGAATGAAGTGAGAGAGAATGAAGTGAGAGAGAATGAAGTGAGAGAGAATGAAGTGAGAGAGAATGAAGTGAGAGAGAATGAAGTGAGAGAGAATGAAGTGAGAGAGAATGAAGTGAGAGAGAATGAAGTGAGAGAGAATGAAGTGAGAGAGAATGAAGTGAGAGATGTAGGAGAACGATGAAGCAGCATCATAGTGGGTGAGATAGTGAAGAGAATATGAGAAAGAATAAGAGAGAATAAAGGAAGGAAAAGAAACAGAAGCTTGAACCTCACCTTGGTGTCTGTGTCGTCTTTCCTGGACTCTGCTGGACAGAGTCCCGGCTCGCGACAGGTGTATAGTTGAATAAGATGGTTTA